CGCCGTTCGCGTAAAATAAAAATCTAATCGAACTTACAGTATTTTTTCTAGAAATAGTTCATCCAGACCTGGCAAAGTTTGGGGATTTTCGATTTTTTCATTTTGCACACCTCTAGGCGAAATTTTGGGACGATTGCTCTTAAGCGCTTATACAAAGACCCAACTGCAGATTGCGGGTAAGATTGCATATTAATTTGATTATAAAAAGAATGGTTTTATAAATCGGTAAATCCGTACAGAAGTGGTCTAAGTGAATGTCTAACTTATTTACTATTATTTTAAACGCTTAACTTGACGTTAATTTACGCTTGGAATTTTTTTTGGCTTATTATTTAAGGCTTCAGGTTTGGATATTGTACTACCAAGTCTTAAAACAAGCAGAGAAATGCTCAACTACCGGTAACCATACAAAAAGCCTGCACGCGGCCGATATAAAGGAGGTCCAGTCGCTATACTGCAGTGGGTTGGACTTGGAGAGACCTCTGATGTTATCCCTCTCTCCGTGTTCCAACAAGCATAAGCAGGAACTTGTTGACGGGTGCATTACTGACTTCGCGACAACCTTTTCCAGTGACTTTTCACAGTTATCTCTGTGCAGGTAAAACATTAGTTTTTTTTCTTTTTAACTCTGATAATAGTGAATACAGGGGAGTGGTTATGGAGCCTGGCAAACATCATAGGAGCCAACAAAGATGGCTACATTTACGTTGGAAGATCCACGACCGTGCACAATCTTTTGTTTTGCGCTCATACATTGCATGAATTACATAACCAAAACGTTTCTATTGGTTAGTTCCTCGGTCAGAAGTAAAAGGCTAGTGTGTTTTGGACAAGTCCAAAAAAGAGAACAAAAACATACAACAAAGAACATTATCGGGTTATCATAGTCATACTCCTTAATTATGCCCTGATGTAGTGTATTTGTGTTAAGAGCATGACAAAATGATAAAGAGAGCTGGTCCCGCGCCTGATAATTATTTCAAGTCACAAAATTTTATACTTCAAGCTGTTTGAGATCTATCCGGCTATATATAGTGCCGGGACAGTTTTAGGCCACTGGTTCCTATGGCCGCGCCGTCAACGACCATTTTGTTTGCCGATGGCTACTTCTACCTGTGATTTTTCCTTGTCTAAAACGAGATTGACCACATAGCTCTTCAGAGCGATTACGTGGTACTAAGACCTCGCCTTTGTTCAAAAGAGATTTTTAAACGTTATCTCGCTCAGTAGAACAACAGATTTACTTCTTGATTTACTTTTATTTCTTGTTTCGTCATCATGCTTGGTTCCATTGTGACAGGAAACGTGACGAAGCCAAACAGTGTATCAGATACGCGTGTCGTACCTACTGCAATCGCTCAGATGTGGCTGATGGTATCCTAGAAAAGGTCATCGGTTACTTCGATCCCTTTTGTGACGGGGACAAGGATCCAAAGGCGGAGGAAACCGATCAGTGTGCGAATTACGCCAAACCTCCTGATGATGAAGGTTGCCCCCGTCCCAGTGAGAGTAAGAGTGCAGCAGGGGAGAAAAATGGCGTCGTTCCCTATTTGTTTCATGTCGTGCTTTTCATAACACCAAATTTGTGCCTAAACAATCTTGTGACAATCTGAAGAGACGAGCGTGGCCTAGTGGTTAAGAAGTTAAACTTTTAATCCGGAGGTCCCAGGTTCGAATCATCCCCCTTCCATTAGATGGATTTGAGTTTGGTAATCCCAAATTCAACTGCTCCACAATTTTATATACCGTAAACTTCCGAAAGTAACAACCCCCGAAAGTAACGTCAAAAAGTTGTGGCCACTAATAAATCCCGAAAGTAGCAACCCTCC